ACATACACACTGTAAGGGTTAAATGTTCACTAAGTCTATGGGAGTAGAGGAATAACATGTAAGACTTACCCCGTTCTTCTTGCTGTTAGACTTCCTTCACCCTGTGTGACCAGTCCCCTAAAACCTCTTCTCCAAGGCTCTGGCTGGCAGCCACATGTGGACATCATCACATACAACGTAGGGCCAATAGCCCTGCTTTGTACACCAGAACAGCAAGGGCATGCCCAGAACCTGGAGAACACCCAAAGCCTGCTGCAGTGAGCTCAACCTTAACCTTTTTCCATCGAGACCCAAAAGAAAGCTGGTATAATATTGGTGTTGAATGGTTCTAAAAGTAGCAGCTCCCAATACTTGGCCCACATACATACTCAAAGTGTTTCAAGAGACAACCCTCAAAGAGAAGCCACCAAGAAGCCGTCATGGTTCTAATAAAAGTAGCAGCTCACAATACTTGGCCCACATTACATACTCAGAGTCTCAAGAAGCGACAACCCTCAAAGAGAAGTCACCAAGAAACCTTCATGGTTCTAATAAAAGTAGCAGCTCCCAATACTTAGCCCACATACATACTCAAAGTGTTTCAAGAGACAACCCTCAAAGAGAAGCCACCAAGAAACCTTCATGGTTCTAATAAAAGTAGCAGCTCACGATACGTGGCCCACATACATACTCAAAGAGTCTCAAGAAGAGACAACCCTCAAAAAGAAGCCACCAAAAAACCTTCATGGTTCTAATAAATGTAGCAGCTCACGATACGTGGCCCACATACATACTCAAAGAGTCTCAAGAAGAGACAACCGTCAAGATAAATCACCAAGAAGCCTTTATGGTTCTAATAAAAGTAGCAGCTCACAATACTTGGCCCACATACAGTACATACTCAGAGTCTCAAGAGGCAACCCTCACAAAAAGAACCCACCAAGAAACCTTCATGGCATAATCCTTACAGTTCTTACACAGGACCTACAGTATATGGTCAAAAGAAAATTAATTCAATCCTTCATACCCTTCAGCATGTTTTAAAGAACACAAAAAAATGGGTTCACTATCCTTCATATGTTACCAATGCTATGTTGTTTCTGCATTTTGGTTACAAATCAGAACATTGCAATTTACAACTTTTCAGAAGCTTTGAACCTTCATCTAGGGAACAAAGGTGAGGAAAAGCTGATCTGATACGATTCACTGCTATGACAGCTAAAAAGTTACCAAAAGCAGGTGACTGTAAATCCCCAGTGATCAATAATTTAATCATTGTCACTGAAAAACAAATTCCATCGTATAGGATGCCACAAAGTTGTTGTGCCCGGCAGATGAATCGACTACTACTAGCACTTTGATGTTCTGATAAAACGAGCGGACAATCACTTTCAAAATGTCTAGTAAAATTATAGGTCAGATCTACGTTAGAGGCCAATGACCAAGTATCTAATATCCTATAACCACGTATTGATATCCTGCAAGTCGAATTTTGTACATTTGAAAACTGGCTTTTATTGTTCCTCAGCCCCTCAGGAAAGGGCCTTCCTTCAGGCTTCGGTTGCACCAAATCTGACTTCACTTGAAATCGCACGATTTCAAAGTCAGATGTCAGTGTGACTTCAGGTGCGGTGTCAATGCAAGTCGCAACTGAACTTGCAAAAAGTAGTGCATGAAGTACTTTCAAAACCAGTGTGATTCAGTCGGGCCGCTTTCATTGCGGACAATAGGATGCGACTTGTCATGTGATTTGTACCTGTCAAATAGCATAACAGGTCGCACCGGTGTCACTGGGGACTTACCCCCCTTTCACACTTGAGTGTTTCCCTCGCCACTTGTTTCTTCCACCTCTTGAGGCTTCACATGTAGAATCCCATTCTTTCTCATTGCCTATGTTCACACTTGTACGCCTTACTCTCAGACACCCTACACCCAAAAAGTACACTTTTTTTGTTTTTGTTGTTTTTTTTGCTAATTTTTTTTTTGCATATTAAGATATTTCTTCCCCCCCAAGCTTCATGGGGGGGGGGGGGGGGGGAGCATGTAAATATGCAAAACATTAGGTTGCATGTGCGTTTTTACACTTGAAATACTCCTCCCTCCTTTAAAACTGCTCGTATCTCCTTGGTCAGCTCAGAAATAAATGCCTGAATGCCCCTGCCCCCCAATTTTTTTTTTAGTTTTTTTTTTTTTTTGCTGCTTACTTACATTCGATTCAGGCATAAATGCAAGCCAATTATTATAACCGTGTATTGTTTCCATTGTGTTTCATAAGGCCAGGTTCACACTTATGCAGTCTGCGTTTTATCGGTTTCTGCAGTGCTTTTTGCACGTGTTTTTGCAGCGTTTTGCATTTTTTTTCTTGTTGCTAGGCAGATTAAAAACGCAAACCGCAGCAAAAATGCACTACATGCTTTTCTGCAGCGTCTCCATTGAAGTCTAGAGAACCAAAAAAAAGCAACTTTTTGCATTTAAAAAAGTTCCTGGACCCTTTCCAGAAAACGCAACGGGTGAAAACGCGCAGATGTGAACATGTCCCATAGGAAATCAGGTTAAATGGACTGTACCGCATTTCTGCAAAAAATGCAGTGAAAAACGCTTAGGTGTGAACTTAGACTTAGCTAGGATGCCCCAAAATTTTTTAAAAGTGGAACTTAACTCCCAAAAGGGAAGGTGGTTTCGTTTAAGCACCCCCACTCCCTATCCCAGGCAGAATTGAATTTTTTTTCCTTTGGCCCCCCCCCCCCCCCCCCAGCACCATTCTGGCCTAATGGCAAAAATAGAAGAAATCCTCCTGTGCATAGGTGAGAAACTATGGTCAAATGGTGGATGCCCCAAATAACCACATGCAGGGGAAAACGAGGCCTTGCTGCCTTCTTACGACCGAGGGAGTCCAGCAAACTGCAAAGAAACAAAAAATAGAGAGCGCACCAGCCTAGTGCATTATCCTCATTTCTTTTATTTTTATTAATAAGTCAAGCTAAAAACATACTCCCAAATGTGTGATAACAGGCCTGTAAAGCCACCAACTCGTGGCACAGTGAAAGTAATGCAACCCTCCAGGACACCTCTCGTGGCACAACCAACGCTATGAAAGCGCCATCCAGGATCCAATACCTCGTGGCACAGTGAAAGTAATGACCCAACAGGAACGCTAGGAAAACGCTAGGAAAGCGCCGTCCAGGATCCAACACCTCGTGGCACAGTGAAAGTAATGACCCTACAGCAACCAACGCTAGGAAAGCGCTGTCCAGGATCCAACACCTCATGGCACAGTGAAAGTAATGACCCAACAGGAACCAACGCTATGAAAGCGCCATCCAGGATCCAACATCTTGTAGCACAGTGAAAGTAATGACCCAACAGGAACAATGTTAGAAAATGTTCCAGGGAAAGCGCCGTAATGACCCCAGGACGCTAGGAAAGCGCCGTCCAGGATCCAATACCTCGTGGCACAGTGAAAGTAATGACCCAACAGGAACCAACGCTAGGAAAGCACCGTCCAGGATCCAACACCTTGTGGCAAAGTGAAAGTAATGACCCAACGGGAACCAACGCTAGGAAAGTGCCGTCCAGGATCCAACACCTCGTGGCACAGTGACAGTAATGACCCAAGAGGAACCAACGCTAGGAAAGCGCCATCCACAATCCAAACACCTCATGGCACAGTGAAAGTAATGACTCAACAGGAACCAACGCTAGGAAAGCGCCGTCCAGGATCAACAGCAGCTTACACATTTCGACTTCCCTCGAAATGCGTAAGCGGCTTTTGGAATCCAGACGGTGCTTTCCTAGGGTTGGTTCCTGTTGGGTCATTAATTTCACTGTGCCATGAGGTGGTGGCTCTACATGCCTGTTATCACATGATGTGAGTATGTTTTTAGCTTGACCTATTAATAAGAAAAAAAAAAAAAACCCCGGAGATAATGCACTAGGCTGGTGCGCCCTTTTTCTTTTATTTGTTTACCATTCTGGCCTAGGTTAGACTGACGTATACCCGGACTTGCAGCCTCCTGGGAAATGAATGCCATGTCTTCCAGCTGGCTGCATGATCAGGCACACAAAGCGGCTATGTCATTAGTAGCTGGCTGCCTGCACCTGGAAGAGGCAACCAGCAGAAGAGGACAAAGATGGCAGAAGAAGACCAAGATGGCAGCACAAGACCCAGGACATGTCCCCCCAAACAGATCACAATGGGAAACCGCTGGATTCGCTGTGCAGGGGAGTATGCGTTTTTGAATAGAATACAGCAATACAGAGTAAGAGGGGAAAAAAAAAAAAAAAACACAACATGGGAAAAAGGGGGGGGGGGGGGGGTTAAGTAATGCTTTTTTTTAATTGAGGTCTGTGTCACCACCAGAGAGATTTCCATTTGTCCAGGGGAGCCCTGTCACCTCCTAAGTTTTAGAGTTAGAGCTGTAAGGAAATATTCCAATGGGCAGAACAGTGGCTAAATGGTTAGCACTTCTGCCTGGCAGTACTAGGGTCGTTGGTTCAAACCCCAACCATGGCACCACCTGCCTGGAGTTTGCATGTTCTCCCTGTGCCTACGTGAATTTTCTCTGGGAACTCTGGTTTTCCTCCCACACTCCAAAGACATGCTGGTAGGTTCACTGGATCCTGTCCAAATTGGCCCTAATATGTGCATGTAGGGACCTTAGATTATACGCCCCTTGAGGCTAGGTTCACATTTGTGCGGGTGGTGCCACTGCAGATCCACATGAAAATCCGTGCACCCGCACAGAGAAATGCGGACCCGCGGGCGGGTGCCATTAATTCTAATGACACGCCGCCCGCACTGGAAAACGCAACCGTACTGGAAACCGAGGTTCCCATGCGGGCTGCAGTTTTGGAAGAAGTGCAGGGACTTCTCTGCTTGTCCCGGGGCACGGGAGTCCATACAAATGAATGGGCTCTCGTGCCCGCTCCAAACGTGGCCTGCACGGCCGCATATATGTGAACCAGGGCTAAGGGTCAGGGACTGATGTGAATGTACGATTGAAAAGCGCTGCATAAAGTACCTGTAAAAAATAAATAAAATAAAATAGGAGGTGAAAACTGTCGAAAATTGGAATTCTCTTTGCTTCGGGGGGGGTCCTCATTTACAGAGACAACTCAAAAACAGGAATTGAGGAAATTCTCATGTTTAGTGAAGTCAAGGAGAATGGAGAGGAAAAGATGAAGACATTTCAATGTATGGAAACATTGTTGCATTTCTTACCTACTCTATGACTTTGCGGAGTAACTCTAGGCACCTGCGTGGAAGCCTGCTTCATCGTACTGATGTTGGAGGGCATGCGTCTGGGAGGAAAGTGTCGCAGTATTGGTGTAGGTGGATGGTAATCTGTAGTCGCAGGTTGAAAAAATGAATAAGTAAATCATCAAAAAGGCACTTCATGTTTCCATAGCCACAGCCGCCGCACACCCTCCCTCTGACAGATTCTACAGGGAGAAGTTTTCCCGTATCATCTGTCAGACATGAAAACAGCGCGCGTGCGGGGCTCCACCCAAAAGGCTGCGTCACTCATTGATGGAGTTCTGTGAATGAGCGCCTACAAGTCCCAGGAGATTTAGAGGCTGTCGCTTTGTAATTTTTAATAAACTACCACAGTGCTGTGGAGCAGCATGGTGGTTGACTGAAGAATCCAGTCAGAATATCTGCTTGGCAGTACATCCTGTATGACAGGTAGATATTCTGACAGGTCTGCAGGAGACCTGCATGGCATCAGCCATCTACTGCAATGCTTTCCAGGCTCCTGTGGATGAAAATAATAAATGCACTTTTTTTGTACCTGCAAAAAAATGTGCATTTATTATTTTTGTCCAAAAGGTGAACTTATCCTTTAACCACTTCCCGTCGGGCCCATGTAGATAAATGGCCGGAAGGGAGCGCTGCCGAAGCGGTTGGACGTTTCTAAACGTTCCCCCGCATCCATTGCCTGTGCACACTCCCTGGGGGAGCGCAGCACTGCGATCGGTTTTTAAAAAAAGTGTTCAGGGGCATACTTTGCAAGCACCCAATGTTAGACCAAGTACAATGGGACTTACCTAATGAAATCTTAAAGTACAGCTACACACAAAAGCAAAAATGTAATCTATTAACCACTTCCCGTCCAGCCCATTTGATGAACGGCCGGATGGGAGTGCTGCCGAAGTGGGTGGATGTTTCTAAACGTTCCCCCGCATCCATTGCCTGTGCACCCTCCCTGGGAGCACGCAGCACCGCGATCGGTGCCAACTGAGTCCAGATCGCTGTACGGGACCTCTGTGTGAGGTCCTGATCAAGTGATCACTGATTGGCCAGTGATCACATGAACAGTAGTAAACAAGATGTCACTTCCTGACATCATTGCTTACTACTTGTAAAATCTGTGAATGATCATAGAGGTCACATGGTACAGGGCTATTCACAACAGCCTTCTACCATGTGACAAGCTGTGACCAATCACAGCTCTTACAGTATTTCTCAATGGCTGCAGGAATGCAGCCAGAGAGAAGGAGAAAAGATTGCTTTTGCAGCCTTTATGGGTGTAAAAGCAATCAGTGTAAGAAAAAAAAAAAAATCTTCATCACCCCCCACAAGTAGTAGTGTCACTATGGTTACACTGTACTGCTAGGGTGGCAGTATGTTAAAAAAAAATCATAAAAAAAATAAAATAAAAAAAAAAAAAAATTAAAATGTTTACAAAAAAAAAAAAATGAAGAAAGGTTTTGCAAAATAGAAGAAAAACACTTATTTTTTGGACTTTTTCATTTTAAGCTCCCGGGCGCAGGGCCCTCCTATCCCTCTTGTATTGAACTGTATTGTTGCTGTATTGTCTCCCTTTATATTGTAAAGTGCTGAGCAAACTGTCGGCTCTATATAAATCCTGTATAATAATAATCATTTTTTCTTCTTTATAAACATCGTTTTTTTCGGAGTAGAGTACTGGACTTGCATTCTTAGACCATTGGTTCTATGCAGGCAACTTTCCGGGAATTGCGCACTTTTGCAATCCCACCCACTCTGTGAGACACCTTTTTTTTTTTTCTGGCAGTAAGGAGTGATCAAGAAACGGAAGGAGAGGGGGGCAGGGGCCTGTATTATACTCCTAAGTGGTGCTGATTTTCCTTAAAGTGGATGTAAACCTCAGACATGAAATATGAACAAAGCATATCCCTCTATGGTGTGTACTTGTCTCTATCCAGAGCACTGGATCATGCTTTGCTGGGGTTTTTTTTGCCTTCCTCTGAATCAACTGTGAGTATAGGATTATAAACTTTTTTTTTTTTTTTTTTTATGGTTGAACTGGATAGACTTTTGACTTTTTTCAGCCAGACTAACTACATAACCAAGTATCATTTCTGTCTTCTGCTTCATTGCTCTGCTATCAGCACAAATCACTTCTGACAAATTTTCCTGACCACAAGAGACAAATGGTGACAGGGGAGGGAGCGCCAGCTGATTGACAGCCTCAGCTCTGTTCCTGTGTGCTATGTGGAGGGGGGGGGGGGGGGGGGTGTGTCCCTTCCCTCTAGTCAGCTCTCAGAGATCCTCTCACTGACCTTTGTAATGTCAGCTCTCCACTCCTTTTTCTGAAATCTCAGACAAGCTTTATAAATTCAGCAATTTGACCGAATGTAGAGAAGTGAATACTGCAGATTAACCGGTACAACTTATGTAGGGGGATTTTTTTCCCTCTGCGTACCACCTGAGGCCAGTCACTACACTGGGTATACGTAAAGATTTACAACCGCTTTAAGGCCATCTGCAGAACGCATGCTATTTGACCCTTCTGTCCCAGGTCCCTTGGGCCTGTGATCTGCCATTGCTAATTAAGGGGATCTCTATGGAATGGAGGATGGGGTGGATGGGGTTTTGCATATCTAGAAATAGAAGCCGCAATGACCCAGATTCTGCCCATTCCCCTGTGGCTGTGTCTCAGTAGTGGCTGGCAGCAGGAGTTAAGAAGGTGTGTTTGGAATCTAAATCACATGAGCCGTCTAGGTAAAAGCTTCCCTCCATAGATACAGTGGAGTAAGTGAGCGTAGTCATCCCAGGAAAGAAAATGCATCATTTGGAGAATTACCAGGTGAAAAGAACGAAAAAAGAAAACAAATGCAGCCACTACATCTAAAATCTCTTAAGCTGCACTATATTCAGTTTTGGGATTTAGATACACTTTAATATATGAAGAAGTGCAAGCTCTTTGTATTATGCCTTTAACACCTTCCCGTCCAGCCTATTGCAGATTGACAGCCGTGTCGGACACTCCTTGTTGTGACTGGGCGTCATATGACATCCTGTCAAAATAAGCCACTCACAGAGCCGCGGCGCGATCTGTCACCGGCTGTGTCCACGGGACACAACTGATGACATATCACTACACCGGCCCGTTGCCAGTATCATGTGACCACTGTGACTAATCACAGCAGATCACAATAATTGTATACAATGGATGGCTTCCTGTCAAGCCATCCATTGTATACAATTATGTGGTTAGCTGTGACTGGTGAAAGCAGTCCATGATACAGACAGGGCCAATCACAGCCCATCTGTATCGTGTGATCAGCTTTGCCCAATCACAGCTAATCACAATTGAATACAATGGATGGCTTCCTGTCACTATTTTATTTATTTATTTCAGGTACTTATATAGCGCCGTCAATTTATGCAGCGCTTTACACATATATATTGTACATTCACATCAGTCCCTAACCCTCAAGGGGTGTGCAATCTAAGGTCTCTAACTCACATTCATACATACACATACTAGGGGCCAATCTAGACAGGAGCCAATTAACCTACCAGCATGTCTTTGGAGTGTGGGAGGAAACCGAAGTACCCGGAGGAAACCCATGCAGGCACAGGGAGAACATGAAAACTCCAGGCAGGTGGTGCCATGGTTGGGATTCGAACCAACGACCCCAGTACTTCCAGGTGGAAGTGCTAACCATTTAGCCACTGTGCTGCCCCAGTCATGCCATCCATTTTATACAATTATGTGGTTAGCTGTGACTGGTCAAAGCAGTCACATGCTACAGACAGGGCCAATCACAGCCTATCTGTATCATGTGATCAGCTTTGTCCAATCACAGCAGATCATGTCAATTGTATACAATGGATGGCTTCCTGTAATGCCACCCATTGTATACAATTATGTGGTTAGCTGTGACTGTTAAAAGCAGTTACATGCTATAGACAGGGCCATTCACAGCCCATCTGTATCATGTGATCAGCTTTGCCCAATCATAGCCAATCACAAGACTGAATGAATCAATTTCATTCAGTTACAATGATTGCAAGAAGAACAATCCAATCCTGATCACTTGCCCAGGGTAGTTCAATGTTACTATGGTAACATTGTATTTCTTTGGTCACAGTGTGTTGAAAAAAAAATTGTAAAAAAAAAAGAAAAAATAAAAAAAAAAAAAAAAAAAAAAAAAAAATTGAAAAAATGTGAAAAAAAAAGTACAAATTAAATTATTTTTATTATTTTCACCAAAGAAATGTAGCAGAATCAATTTTGATTTAAATTTGTGAAGAAATGTTATTTATTTGCAAAATGTTATAACAGAAACAAAGAAAAAGTAAGTTTCAAAAGTTTAAGGGTATTTTTTGTTTTATTTAGTAAAAAAAAAAAAAAAAAAAAAAAAAAAAAAACTCAGTAGCGATTAAATTCCACCAAAAGAAAGCTCTGTTTGTGTGAAAAAAATGATAAAAAGTTCATATGGGAACAGTGTTGCATGACCGTGCAATTGTCATTCAAAGTGTGAGAGCGCTGAAAGCTGAAAATTGGCCTGGACAGGAAGGGGGTAAAAGTGCCCTGTATTGATTTAAGAGAAATGAAAACCTGAAAAAAAAAAAAAAAAAAAAAAACACAAAACCACACACAGGTATTTACTTACGAATAGGCCTGGAATGCTGTGACCAATGAGCTGTTGGGCGTATAGAAGCTATAGGGGCTGGACTGTAAAATGCTCGGTTTGCTGGCTAAAGGTGAAAATGACAGTTAATATACATATACAGTAGTGCATTCATCTCAATACATAAACCATGTAATTGGGCCCA